AATTCATTCCCGTAGAACATTTTGAATGTATTCTCTATTTGGAAAAGTGGGGATTAGCCAGCTGTCACAGGTGACATTACCAGGCTTTTTGTCCACAAGAATAAAAGTTGCTGTTGTCTTCTGATGTTACTAAACCCATTACTATAATAAACTGCCTAAGATGAGGTAACAATTTACTTTTTTAGAAAATGAAAGTTACACAAGTTGTGGTATGGTCAACCCAAAAGCCTGTTAAAAGGCTGAAATTAAGATCTGAAGTTTGGAGTTGCTCCTAGTTTTAGTGGAGATTATGGAGAAATATGCGAGCAGTGTCTAGACAGAAGAGAATTGTTTAATTGAGCCTCGATCTTTGTGCTTAGGAATGGCAGGTAAGTTCTTCCATGATATGCTGAAAAAATCCTAACATTAAAAATGCTTGTAACCAATCCGAGATGTGCATGTAAGCCTTCCTGTGAGACGGGTGCAGAACTAGTTGCAGATGCACAGTTTGAGTCGATTCATACTTGTGTGTTGTTGTACAGTGTGCCACTTCCAGTCTAGCTGGCTAATGTCTGAGTAACTTCGAGAGTTTGCACTGCAGAGTTCACTTAAAGATATCTCTTGGCAAACAAGACAAGGAATTGGATCCAAGTCTGGATTTCTTTATTTTAAACGCATTAGTGATTGTTCTGTAAAATTTGATTAACTCTCTGGAAAGTCTGCAGAAATCTCATTTAAAATTAGAAAAGATTTATTGAGTGAAGTATGTAATTTACTTAGTCTGTCAGTACCTCAGTCATTATGCTCATTTTTAAATATAAAATTCATTTTAATTGCAATTTTATAGTCATTTCAGATAAAAAACTCTTTTCAGCATGCATGTGATTTTGGTAAAATTTGTGAATGTATAAACTTTGTCAGGGACAAAATTTAAGGTCCTGGTTAGCAGAGTAGAAGGAGATTTTGATAGAAGCCACAGAAAGCAACAAGTCTTTTGCTATATTCATATTTGCTCATTATTTCTTTAATTGGGTTTTTCATACCTGCCAGGCTTCAACAGTCTGTCTGTAGGAAATTAGGTTATGTGTGTTTTCATATTTCCAGGCTTTTTCTGAAGCTCTAACAACTAAAACTCATAATTTTGAGATTGTATTCAGAGCATAATTCTTATGCAAGATCTGAGTTTTGTGGCAAAACTTGGAGCCATGGAACACACAAACACTGGAAGCTCGCTCTGCTCTTCTAATGTTTTAAATATTTTAAAATACTATTTCTTAAAAAGCTGTATTGTCTAGGGTTGGAATACAGCCTTCAGGCAAACAGTTAGAAAATAAAGTGCACAGGCTGCTACTCTTTCTTTTTGATCCAAATCCTTTAGTTTACTATTTTGCTTATTAAAACAAATTATTCCAAAGTCTAATAGCGTACACAATACTGCGTTGCTAAATAAAATTTTATTTAGAAGATCCTTTATCTCTAAAGGAGATCAGTTTACTATTGCTGGGGCACTGCTCTTACTGACTAAAGTGACAAATCCTTGCATGTTCTCAGAGGAATCATAATGCTGAAATTGTAGTGATTAAGATGTTCTGCAGGGGATTGTCTTGATAAACATAAAATTTTGCTTTAGTTAGGTTTCAGCAGTGTATGTTACAGGTAGTTGCTTACTTTCTCTTTGATTTAAAAACAGAAGATTAAAGAAGGTACCATTTGAAACTGAGAGAACAACGTAGGACGTATTTTGACATACTGTTGAAATTGGATCCCAATAAAATGGTTTAAAAGTATTTTCAGATGAATCAATCTAGTGCTTAGGGCAAATAAGCAACACTTAAAGATATGTAAAAAGAAATTTTGTGCATAAATATGTAATTGTATTCAAAGTGTTTGTGTTAAAATTTATAAATTTAGGTCTTCTGAAAAGAACAACACTTCTACTAAGTTAAGAAAATGGCTAGAAATGCAATGGCCAATTGTCAAATAACAAGAATTACAATAGTAGAATTCTAAAGTTAAAAATTAATGTTTGTTTAAGTCAGAACTTATGTGACAGAAAATTTGTATAACCATTCTATATTTACTCTTTCATCAGTGAGAAGCTGTTGTAATTCACATATGTACTTGGTGGTTAGTTGAATTTTTCTCCAGGTGATTTCTTTTTATAACCAGTTCATACTTTATTTGAATCTCTCGTTGCTGAATGAAAGGTATTTAATAAAGATCGTACAGTCAAATGGTTCATTTTAATTCCTGTAACTTTAAGGCGATACAGCATAAACACTGTTTTGATGCAGTGTTCTTGAATTCTTTGAAGAGAGCAATACTCTAGCTCCATGCTGGACAAGTGACAATGGATTTCCTCTTGTTCTTTTTTTGTTCTGTAGTGTAACATTATTTAAAAAACAAAAGGTTCAGTTGCATTTAGGTCAGTTATTAAAATATTGTTGGCCATTTCCTTTGACAGAACATTTCTATTGTGTTATACCGATGTCATTAGGAGGAAAGGTTATTCCCACTTGTCTGGCTGATATCAGTACATACTGGCATATTACATCCTCTGGCTTTCTGGAAGTGCTTTATTTGAGCAGTAGCTTGGGAACAGGAAATTTAAGATTATCCACAGTCTGGTTTCAGACTGCATGATAGAAAATGTGTTTCCTAGAAGACGCTGTCTACCTGTCAAATTTTCTCTAGTATTTTGTAGACTTGAATAAGCTTAAATGGATTAAAGTTGGGAATAAGTTTTTACCAGCTGAAGATGGCAGACAAGGTAGAAGAAGACTTTCAGTCCCTCTATAGTATGTATCTGAGGAACTTAGATGAACTGTGTTAGTATCTCACTCGTTCACCAATTACTCTGGAACGTAGTTTAGCTTTTAAGATACGGCAGTGATAATGTTCCCATTTAATAGGTGTTCTTACTGTCTGTGAGATAAAAAAAACGAACAAAAAAACCAGAGTACTTAAAGCCATGATCAAATGTGGAGTTTGTGACACTATGGTAGCTTCTAAAGGCAGAAGTTCAAGTATGGTATCTTAGCCACACTGGACAGCCCTTTCTGTCAGAATTATAGTGAACAGGAGGAGTACAGTTTAATCCTGTAACTGTTTGTTGAGCTATTCATTCATCCATGTAAAACAAAACAAATTGTTATCAGAAGTTATGTCCTGTTGTGTTTCTTAAGCTGAGCCTCTCAGTCTTGGGTGAATCTGTAAATTATATTTTTTCCAAATCTATACTCTAGAGGTAAGTGTTCCCCTAAGTGCTCCATCCTAAAATTATAAGGTTTTTTTATAAAAGCAGCAACATCATCTTTGTTTCTTAAGAATGAGAACACCACCTTCCAAAACTGTTTCCCCCAACCATTTTCTTAATGTGTGACAGAAATGTATGTTTTTCATCATGGGAATGAGCGATGCGTATACAGTTAGTGCAGCACTGCCAGCCATAGTCATTCAAAAATCAGGAATCATGTTGCTGAAAGTCATGACAGTGGTCTAAAAACCATGTTTATGAGGTAGATGAAGGACTGTATTTTTAAATTACATTTCTTTTATTTCTTTTTTCCTATATGTAAGTAGAGCATACACAGATTTCTTAGCCTTTGTGGCAGCTATTAACTTAAATGAGAAAGGTTGGAGGGAATGGGCAGAATGTAGTTGAGATATCTGAGAATTGATCCCCTCCAGGACTTCAGGAAAAACAACATGTGGTAAGATTTGAGATAAAATTGCCTTAGTAAACATTATTGATTTTTTTTTCCTCTCCAGAAAAGCAAGATTTTCAAGGAAGGAATACATATTTCATGTCACTTTCACTGAAAAATTAGACTTGTGTGTTTTAAGTGGTGATGCTGAAAATGAGAAGTTCACGTTGATAACATCTTAATATCTGTGACTTCGTAGGGAAACAAGTCTAAAGTTGTGAAAAGATAAATGCTTGAAGTATTAAGCCATCACACATATATACTGAAGTCTGTATAAAACCATTCCAAAAGGATGTATAATGAACTACAGTCATCAGAGATAATAAAAATTATAAGCCTTTTTAATGGTAATCGCCACATAGCTAGAGATTAGGCTACAAGCAGATCTCATTGTAGAGGTGAGGGTATGATGCCTGGTGAATAATTGATTAAGCTTTCTGTCTGCCTGTCCAGAGTATCACAAGACAAAATTTTTACACAGCTCTTTAATATCTTTTCAGGTCAGAACTGTGGAGTCTTACCTTTATAAGTTCTTCTGTTTCCCTTGGAGCTTTTTGTAATCCACTTCATAGAATAAAAAAAAAAGCTGAGGTTGGAAAGAGTCTTTAGAGATCATCTAGTCCAGCCCCCGCTGCCTGGACAGGGTCAGATAGAGCAGGCTGTCCAGGACTTTGTTCAGTCGAGTTTTGAGTATCTCCAAAGACAGAGACTTGACAACCTCTCTGCAGTTTGTTCACTTGTATTTATTAGTTTTGGTGTTACACAAAATATGAACAGCTTGTATATTTTAGGGAACATGTTTTTTTATCCAACTTAATTCATTTACTTAACCTAGGTTAAGAAGTGTAATTTTTTTATGTGTTTGAATACAAGGCAGTCTTACAGTAGCTACTTCAAAGCACAGAAATGTCCTTTCATTTTAGAAAATGATGCATACAAAAGCAGTTTTTTCCACTGAAGAGGTAAAAAAGGGCTAATGCTTTTCTTGTCCTTATAGAAGAGTGTAAATTATGTGTATAATTTGCTTATGAAATGTCTGCAACTTTCAGGACAAAAGTAACCACTGAGTTTAGATATTGATAAGTAATTTTATTTAAAGCTACTATATTATATCTTCCCTTAGTTGTAAAATACAGACATCTTTGCCAGTTCTGAGCATTTTAATGTTAACTGTACAATCAAGAGAATTTTAAAATCTCATGGCAGATAGTTTGTTGTCATATGTCTGTGATATATAGAAATACAGAATCTTTTTGCTTTTACTCAAAGTTGCTTTGAGTATTTTGCTTTTACTCAACCAAAAGTTGCGTGACTATGTTAACATGCCCTGAGCTTGTATCAAGAAGACATGTTGAGGACCTAAGTACAAAGCATATGGGCTTTTGCATCACAACTGTCTCATGTCCTATCAGCACGGAGTACAGGGTGAGTTCTCATCTGCCCTTAACATAGATCCATTCTAGGTCAACCAATTGTAGGCATGCAACGCTGATCATAATAGGTGTGGTTTGTAACACAGAAAACCTTCCTGAATAAAACTTAATGTGCATGGAGGACCAGTTGTGGTGGTTTAACCACAGGTAGACCATGCGGTCCTGCACTTGCTCCCCCCACTCGGGAGATGGGAAGGGAATCACAACAAAGGGGCACAGAGTAGGATGAGGACAGGGACGGCTCACTCACCAGTTATGGTCATGGGCAAAACAGACTCAACTCAGGGAAGAAAAATCAATTTAATTCGTTGCCATTCATCTGAGTATCACAATGAGACATAACAACCACATCTTACAACAGCTTCCCCAAACTCCCCCCTCTTCCCGGGTTCAAATCACTTTGCTCCCAATTTCTCTACCTTCCACCTCGCCTGTGACACAGGGGACAGGGAATGGGGGTTGCAGTCAGTTCACCTCTGATGCTCTTCCTAGCACGAAAGTCCAGGAACAAGAGGTGAGGAGGTGCACGGGTTGCAGATGGGCCTCTGGTCCAGCACCACCTCACCCCCAGCTCTGGAGGTCCAGCCACGCTCTGGTGTTGAGCATCTCTTGGGGTCTTAATTTCAGTCACACTTGCCCTTGGGCTCAGCTTTTCTGCTACAGTGTGGAGTCCTCCATGGCCTACACATGGGTATCTGCTCTGCTGTTGAACCTCCATGGGCTGCAGGGGACCTCCTTTGCCTTCTCCTACTCCATGCAGTTGAACTGGGTGTCTGAGATTCTCTGTCCTCCCCCTCCTCCTCCTTCCTCCTGGCAACAAAGCTCTCTCTTTGTTTAGGCCAATGGTCATCTTTTGTTCAGGTCAATGGCCTCTCCTCCAGGTGCTCTCCACCTTCTTCTTTTCAAGACAGTCCTTTCCCTCACAAATACGGATTCGCAGAGACATTTCTCTATTGCTAATCGGCTCAGCCTGGGCTACACCTTGGAGCCAGGCTTCTCAAAAGGTGACCCCTTCCCCCGCTACCAAACATGTCGTCGTCCGTCCCCCCAACACACCGGTCTAATCCAATGTTAGAATAGTTAAATTGAGAGGTAACGCTGCTACTGTGCTACTGACACATTTATCATCATTGTATTAACATTTTAATTTGTTAGCAAGTTTCTTGGTATACAGTCAATTTATAATAATTATAAGTTCTGCCAGGTACATTGAAGAGGCTTGTGTGTGGATGGCATTTGTGTAAAGGGGATGAGTCAAGGGAACTCTTGTGAAGAGACAGTCAAGGTGAAGTAAAGCATAAGGTTGAGGCAATAGAAGAGAACCCATTTGCTTCATCACTGTCAGTACTGTATCCGCTGTTTGAATAACCGAGCAGTGTAGTTTCCATAGTTGGTGTTAATTTGGCATATTCACTTGGCTGACTGCTTTTTGAGTCAGATACTGTGCAGGGTTGTACTTACCTGATCCCTGTATTTTGTACTGGTTTTAAGTTTTTGAACGCAAACTTTTCAAGTTCTCAGATGCAATGGTGTAATTTTAGGGAAGAATGGAATGATAATTTGAGCCTATTTATGCCTGCCTTATTGATCATTTTTCTGCTAGGTCCCTGTATGGACTTTTATTTAACATTAAGGCTTGCTTTTGCTGTTTGACTTGGTTTTCTTCGGAAGCATGATACAACCTTTGCATTTAATCGTATGTTTTAGCTTTGTCACAAAGCTTCCACCTGCATGTGTGCCTCTGGTGTCAGTATGGAAGGAGGAGTGCTTGTCTTTCTATTGCTGTAAACAGTTTTGGTCTCTATTCTTTTCTAATTCAACAGAATTTAGCTTCTTGGAATCCTTCAAACCCTGAATGCCTCCTGCTTGTTGTGAAAGAGCTTGTGCAGCAGTATCACCAGTTTCAGTGCAGCCGATTACGTGAGAGCTCTCGTCTCATGTTTGAATATCAGACTTTACTTGAAGAGCCCCAGTATGGAGAAAACATGGAAATCTATGCTGGCAAAAAAAACAACTGGGTAAGCTATTAAGAATATGTCTGGTAAAATGCTTTTAGTGATCCTTTCATTTTAATAAATACAGCTCTTGCCTTGGAAAACTTGAGTTGTTTCTGTGGGTCTCCATGCTTTGTTTCCAATGGGGGAAACTTCGATTTGACTCTAGTTCACTTTCTATACTCCCTGTTTCATACATTGCTGTCATTCCACTACCTTGGTTGAACCAGATTTCCAGGTGAGTAACTGTTTTTCAACCTGATGTTAGTTCTTCTGATTTATAGATGAGAACTTGGAAAACAGTTGAAAAGTCTGTGCAATATTTACACGGCACATTATGATGTTGTGTGGAAGTTTGAGTTAGCTCTGAAGAGGCAGAATAACAGTGTTGGTATGATACCCTGCCCAGGCAAATCAGCCTGCTTAGGGGTAGCATGTATTATAGTGTGGTTCCACATTTCGATTGAGTTGCTTTAATTGGTAGCTGCGGCTGCCTGTATCTCACTGGCACTTGTCTAAGCTGAGATGAGTTGTTTCAGGAACCTACACTGGAGAGGGCGGGGAATAAAAATACTGGTTTTCTGCAGAAGGACAGGAGGAAGTAAGATGGGCTAGGGCAAGTAGAGCCATGACTTCATATGACAGTCAGACATTCAACTGGCTTATCTGTTTCCTGAAGCTGTATCCTTTGCCTGGGAAATGCCACGCTGTGTAGAAACACTCTATGTGTACCATCCATGTCAGCCTTCTAAAATGAGGCTATTGGCACTGCAGACCTTTTGGTTAGTGCGTGATCTTCATTGCTTTTTAACTGATCTCTGATACAGAGTGAGCTTTGCAAAAATCAGTTTTTTCCTCTGGTAGTATATTTATCTTGGGAAGTTTAGAGTAAGACATATCAGGAAATACCTAATTGTGTTTATGCTGAACATGTCCCCTTCTTGCTTTCAGCAACAGCATACTCTGATATATATCTGAAGATATACTGACTTTCAGAAGCAGTATGTTCTGAAACAGATGCAGTTTAAAAATCGATGAAAAATCAGCATTCCTGTTATCAGGGCCTAGAATCCAGCTTTATGTCATTTTAATGATCCTTAAATTACAGGTAACACAAGGATGTTTACTTTATAACTTGCAGTACTTATATTCGTCTGGTTTTCTTTTCTTAGACAAATTATCTAGGCTTTTTTATTTTAAGACAAGTAAAATTTTATCAGAGAATTTCAGACCTCTTTTTTATGTTTATAGATCAGAATACTTAATTTAAATTAATTTGTTCTTAAATGTTATGCTCTATAGCTGGTTTCACAAACAGCTTGCCACATCTGTTTATGTCATCAGACTGGTTTATTGAAATGCAGAAGGCTTTCTGAACTGTACTTACATTTTTATCATCATTTTTGGCAGCTGCTAAAATTCTACTCAAGATTGTAGAAAACTAAAGGTTTTTTTTTTTTTCCTTTTTTATGGGAAAGCCATATCTACTCAAGCCTTTTGAATCTTTCCTCAGTCTTTGATGACTGAATAAAGAACATTTTGCATTTGAAATACTGTCTTAGTTAAAAATATTCCAATAGAATAAATACATTTTGAGAAAATTCATTTTAATCATTGCAGAGCTATTTGAGGTTTCAGTAGCGTGTACTTTGTTTTCAAAGTTTCCATTCTCAATCAAGAAGTCTGTGAGGGTCTTATTTGGAGATTTTTATGTACCTGATACCTGCAAGACAGGAGCTTGTTTATGAGCATTCTAAAACTCAAAACTATGAAACTAACTTGTGAGTTCTCCTTCCTGTCCTCTACAACTGTCTTGTTAGTCTTGGTGTTCATCACAGTAGCAGTGTTTATCTGAAAACCAAGAGGTAAACTGCGTGTTGTATCCTCTATCTCAGTCATTGAAATTCATGTTACTGTGTCTCAGGAATCAATAATGGCTTATCAGACTTCTGAAATAATAATGTATAAATGCACCTTTCACAGTGTTGTGAAAGCAATCAACAAAAAAGGGTTTGAGGAGGAGGCCTGAATTCAGTGCTGTGTCCCAAAATGGAACAGAAATTTACTTTTATACCTTCTTTTCCAGTATTTCCAGTTTCCTGAAGTGATCTCCAAGATCTGTGACAAACAGACAAATCGTTACCTACCTTTGTAGTTTCATGTTGGCAGGGTACCAGCTGATACACATGCCCATCAACTGCTAAATCTGTCGGTGGTGCGGCTAGAAATTCATCTGACTCGACCTGGTGCCTGTGAGCAGCTGGTTGGGGTTGGGTGGATGAGCACCATGGACAGGGACTGCTCACTTCCAGAACACTTCTGGAAGTAGTACACTGCAAAATAATCTTGTTTGAATGACATAAAAAGATATAGACTGCAGGTCTTTAGTTATTTCCACATCGTAGAAGCATCGGAGCACAGCTGATGTTTTGATCACAGACCATTCTTCTGTTCAGTGGCCATCCCACTTCATCAGGCTTGGTATTTTACTGGAAGTAATCTGGATTTTATGGCAAATGTTGTATAGCATCTTTTTGGGATTTAAGTCCAGTCAGGAAGCACTGACTGTAATATCCATTTCACTCTGAATAAAAAGCGAGTGCCCTGACTGTCATCAAAGCAGTCTTTGTGTTATACATGCACAAGAAGTCAGTGATTTTTTTACATACATAAATAATACAGCATCAGAAAGTTGGCATCTATCCTCACAAGTAGTGTCATCAGGAAAGGTTTTAAAGTTTGGCTTTAATTTAATGTATGCTCACTTTTGGTTGCATAGTGTTTCTGTGTGCAATTGCTTTACCTCTATTGTATGACTACCAGGGACAAATTTTAAGGGCAATTCTGAGCTAGCTGGCAGCAGGGTGGATTTGTGTCACTAACATGACACACACCCTTTTGGCAAATGATGTAACTGGCAAGGTACCATTCGAAAGATTTTGGTTGCATTCAAGATCTTGTTTTTTCTTGTTTAGTGACTGAAAGGTAGAATGAGTTATCTCCAGTTCATGCCCAATACATAGACCAAGAAACAAATTGGCACTGATACCAGCATTGCTTATTGTACACCTTCCTAATACATCATCTTTGTCTAGATGAGCTTAGTTGCTTGGGATGAAATCCTTGCTTACTTTAGGCATAAAATTAATTGAAGGAATGCAGTTCTATAGAATTTTTTCCCTTCTCAGTTTTATTTCATGTCAGTACCACAGAAAAAACATACTTAGCAAACAGTCGTTTATATTCCTCAGCTGCTCTGCTTAGCAGCTTACCATTCATTTTGGAAAGCCAGTTTCCATTGACTTTGACCTCTAGTACATTCTCAGAGAGGCTTGAGCATCCAAGCTTGTTTCTGTCAGTAATTTTTTCAACCAGTTCCTTTCTGAATCAATATACATAGCAATCAGTGTGGTCCATCACTATGGAGGCTGGTGGTCCAGTGATATATGGCCAGTGACAACCTTCATGTTTTCCCTTATGCTGAGCTCAAAGCAATTTATGGATTAGCACAGCTAATTGAGAGGGGAGGCGAATGTACTGACTATTTTGCAAAAGCATATGACAAATTTTCAATATCAGTACAGGTGTTAAAAGACTTTGAATGCATTACTCTTGAAGAGTTGTCATAGCCTTTGACAAGCTCCCCATAGCTATTGGAGTTTTTGTGATAACATCTACTAAACTTAGTAAAGCAGTGGCCCAGAAGGCATCCCTCTCATATCCATATGGATTATAAGCTTTTGAGTACTGAGAGTGACTGAGCACTAGTACAGGTTGCCTAGACAGTTGGTAGGATCTCCATCCTTAGAGATACTTAGTAGCTGTCTGGACATGGTCCCTGTTTGCTCTCAGGATCCTCTATATGTCTTCCATGGATTACTGCTGCATTTTACAGAAAGGATGCTTCCATTATCTCAGATGTATTACAGGTTTTCGCTTACCACGAGGTATAGCTGTATACACAATAAAAATGATCTTGTTTAAATCTAGTGTAGTATTTACATTCACCCTTTTAATGAGAATTGCAATATACACATTCAGCAACTTGGGTGTACACTTTGTTAAAATTTGTATATTGTACATTTCTTGTTTAAAAGTATTTTTTCTTGGTTTGTCTGGCTATACAAAACATCTAAAATAGTAAAATGAAAGTAAGGTACCGATAACTGTGTTCAGGGAATAGTGAAGTAGTACATGTGTGTTACTGTGGAAGAACGAATGCTGCATATTCACACAGCTTTGATTTGTCCCCTGGCTTGTTCAAATGAAGTACTGTTTTTTAAAAAATTGTATGTCATCACATAACTAAGTAGCGTATGTGTGCAAAGATAGGGCAGTGTTAAAACTGAAAAAAGTTTTGCTACCTTGTCTCAAGGTGTCCTGATTTTTTTCTACTTAATTGATAAAATTAATGTTTAATGCTTTTTGTACTGCTAATTCAAAATCACAAATATACCTGCTGTATGACTGTTTTATTGAATTAAAAAACAGGCATGACAAAAATTAATATGGAGGAAATCAGGCAAGTGTTTGTTTTTCAAAAAGAGCCAACTTCATTGCTTCATAACCAGGTGGACAAAGTCTGGTTTTGAGGAAGTGTATGAAACAGAAAGGAAATCCTTTCCATTTCCTTTGCATACACTTCATGCATAAATTGTAGGGAACATTTGGCAAGTTTTCAGTAAATGGGTGTCTAGGTGTTAAGAGTCACATAATTCTGGAAACAAATTATCTAAAACCTTCTACTTCAGTTCTTTCCTCTATGTTTATTCAGAGGACACTTTTGATGCGTTCTCGCCTTACTCAATGCATATTCTCTTATATACACACGCAATGTTTGTGAAGGTGCCTCTATCATATCCATACGCTCGTATAAATTTGTCGGGTTTTTAGCTTTGCTTTCAGACCATTTGCAAGTCTTGACAGACCTTTGTCCGGAAATGAGTACAGCCAAGATACATCTATATTTAGGGCCTAACAAAGTATAGTCTGATTTTTGTCATGCACATTGTTGTATTCTGACTACTTTTTGCTGTTGACTTACTGGCATTGATGTTTTGTATTTAAGGTGTTTTCTTATATAACATCTGTGAAATCTGTAAATTATTTTTTTTCCTCTTCAGTAGTTCCATTGGGAAATGTTGCATTAAATCTCAACCTTTCTGCTTGGTATGAGCTCTTGCATATTTTTCTGGTTAATATTTCATCCTCAGAACGTTCAATTTGTGGTTCTGCTTTAGACACCAGGTCTCATTAGTGTAACCTTTTTTCCACAGACTGGAGAATTCTCAGCTCGCTTCCTCTTGAAGTTGCCTGTAGATTTCAGCAATATTCCTACTTACCTTCTCAAGGTAAAAAATAATGTTTTAAGTTAACAGTATTTGTGGGAGAGTATGAATTATTGAATGTTCTTGATACTATTTTGACTTTCCTGCCCTCCTTCTCTCCGAGAGTTTGAAAGTCCACCATTTCTAAACCTGATTGGATTATGTTTTGGAAAGGTGATGCTAGACATACTGTTGTTTTGTGTGCCATTTTTCCAGGTAGTAAATATACAAATGTCACTCTAAAGGACCTTGCAGGATTTGGGTTGCAGCATTAGAAGATGGCATGCAATGCAGTTACTCTGGGTTTCTAGACAATACGATAAGTAGCAATCTCATGACCATATCCAAGGTATTATCTTGGGGAATAAATTTAAATATTTCCCCATAAACTCATTCATATGAGTCTATGGAATTTCATGCTATGTAAGTATTGGGTTTTTTAATGAACAGTCAAATTGTACAGTCTTTATGTTAGAAGCAGAAAAAGCAAACTACATATACCAAATCTTAACAAGGAGTGAAAGCAAATACTGATGACATGAACTGAAGGTTTCAATGATTACCTTGTTTTGTTATTTACAGTGAACACTAATTTGACCAGATACTTTAGAAAATAGGACTATAGAGTACTGATGTAAATTGGAAAAAAGTATTTCTTTGCTGAGTGGGGGAAAAAAACCAAAACAAAACAAAAACCACTTGCGACAAACTATCAACGTGGAATAATTTGAAATGAGTGGTTTTCACAGCAGGAGGACAGTCACTCTTTCAAGCAGTTACTGTGGAAGCCCACTGTGAGGTCAATGCTACTATATTCAGAGAACAAAATGAGAGATCTGAGTTCTTTCTGTCTATCATTACTGTCAGAATGAAGTGCCAGAACTTCTACTGTAGACAAGGTTTGTGACAGCTGATGTTACAAATGCCCATCTTTCCTTTAAACTGCATGTCTGCCTCCTTACTCAGCTTTTTACTTTTAAATATTTGTAAAGAGCAATAGCTACTTGAATGTTTAGCGACTCGTGTTGAGATGAAAATGTAAGTGTAGCTCTCCTTACCTCCTCTTTATGTTATTGTTAGAACTGTCTTCAACTATTGTTAGATCACAATTGCAAGTGTGACTCTTCAGTGTTTCTCCAAATAAGATGTCTCGAGCTAAGAATCTTGAAAATAAAGGCAGGCACAACTATAATATGGCCGAAATTTTTGGTTGTAGTCTGAGGTGGATATCCTATGATCTCTGTACCTTCTGTAGACTGGTGTTTGAGTAATGAGCCACTCCTAAATTTCTCAAAAGCATCCAGATATTCTTAGTTTGTTCCTGTGTTCATGGTAGCAGCCCTTCTCCCAACTGCTGTCTTTCATCAGTGCTTTCACTTCTTACTTGATGGGAACGTTTCCAATCAGATGTAAGAGGGTTGGCCAAGGCTTTTTCAGGAAGGATGGCGTTGAGAAGCAGGATACAACGACAGTTCACCTGGACTGCAGGTTAGCTGTGATTTGCTTCTGAAAGACTCTGTGATAAAAAGTAGACTGAGAACGTGAACTATACTATCTGCTCCTCCCAGAACTCCAAGTGATGTATTTCCCAGGAACAGTTTTAAATTGGTCAAGAGTTTCAGGACAAGTGCATACCCAGTATGTTCAATAGCTTCAGGCACAGGGCTGTCTTATACCTCTGTCCAGTCCCTGGGGGAACTACGTGACTTGGAGGTTGGAAGGTGGTGTATGACTTACGTAAGTTACAGTCATCATGTAGGAATTCTGTGATAGAATCAGATTCTACTTTTGTTTCTGAAGAGTAACATTTTAATGCAGGACAGCATATTCCTGCTTACTGTAATTCCCTATCAAGTTCACTAAACATCTTCCACCTTCTCTAAAACAGGTTGGTATACTGTGGATAAATCATCAATGCTCCACAGCTGCTTCCTGGAGTGTTGCTCACCCTGAGTACTGAATGATGCATTAGTCTGAAAGAAAAGGTGTATTTATTTTGCACGCGTATATAGATTGTGTGATATGAAGAGGCACGTGCTGAAGGTAGCGGAAATCAAAGTTTGCCAGTCTACCTTTATTTTCTAAAGACATTTCTAAAATCTTAACATTTTTGCTTTGGGATTTCAAAATTAATGTATTTTTGTATATAATAGCCTGCATTTTTACAACAGCAGATCCTTCTTCATGGGCTGAAATCCTTACTGATGAAATCCTTAGCTTTTTTACACAGACTTCTACTATGCAAACTGAGAGGTTAACTGTCTGTGGTAGGAAGGTGGTACCTAGTCTGGATGAGTAGCCACAGAAGAAATACTGTAGTATTCCAGTGGTATTTGTTAACGGCAGAAGAATGGTTTGACTCAGGCTCCAGCATGGATTATGACAGAGTGCTCTGTAGTAGGCATAGATCTTTTACCCCTGCTGCCTTTAGCTCCTTGTATTCTGACATTATCAACTATATGAATGTCTTCTCATATGACAACAATATAAAGGCAGGAAAAACTGGAACCACTCTGTTGTGGTGGAAATAGTTATGCTCTGACTGCTCTGAATTCATAAAGCTATTTAAAAAAAAAATTCACATTTATTTTTTTTAAACTGTCCATGTCTGTTTTACTACTTTTTTTTTTTTTTTTTTTAATGAGACTTTTGGCATAAATACATCTTTGATTTGTTGCAATAAAATAGGAATTTATTTTCCATCATGTCTACCAGTTATGTTGGCTTCAGTGCTGCCTGTTGGATTATGGTACAGGATGAAGCATCTACTGATGCAGTGGAAATAATTGTTAATATATTACCCTGAAAGGTGGAAGAGCAGTCAGTAATTGAAGGCTGTTACTGTATTAACAGCTTAATGTTAACTGCAGAATTTAATGTGTTTGAATTATGTTCTAGTCTGTAGTCAGCCTTATAGTGTGTAGTAGCTTCTCTGTAATGATTTGCAGAGTTCAAATCTATGTTATACTTTCTCTACCATCTTCTTTTTTGATGTTTAAATAATACTACTTGTATTTAAAATCTGGTGAAATAAAGACCATTATGTTTGCCTCATCAGTCCTAGTACCCCAATGATTTGTAAAGCTCTTCTGAAATTTTTATTTATGTTAGTAGGTAATCACACTACAAATGTGACTGTAAAGCTTTGTATAGTAAGCCAATATTCAGGTTTGAGGATGTAAGCTGTGAGAACAGTCTGTAGTGTTACAAAATCTTTGGAGTTGTTGAGAATACACTCCGGAATCATAAGATCTTACTCTGTCAGCTTTTGAAGGTGTAGCATAAGTTAGCGAGAATGATTAAAAGAGCAATGCAGAGTACACTGTCTCTTCCTTTGAATTCTGAAATTCTAGTAAAAGTTCTTCAGTTTTGATTTATTTGGAAACATAATATGCCTTGTAATGGCTGCAGCAGATAAATCTGCTTTTTTGCAAGTTTCCTTGGCGTATTCTTCCACATTTGAAAGAAAAAGTATAATTCTTTATTTTTCAAGCTGAAGAACTGTTTAAAAATAAATGTTGGTTTACACTGAAAAAAAAGACATAATTCCGTTATTTTTTTCCTTTACAAAGTTATACTTTAATAGAAAGGTTTTGAATTGAATGTGGACCTTCATATACACTTTTACATTGCCTTCTTATGCAAATCCATATGACAAATGACAATGTAAGTGTTGAAACAACTGCAGAATCAAGCTGTTGGCTCAAACTACTGGAAGGTTCATTGCTGAGGTGTCTTTCATTAATGTTCTCTTATTTTACAAGAAAATGGCTTTGTCTCAGGAAAATCCTTACATCTGTGTCTGTTTACTTTTATACTTTCCCTTGCCCTTTTTTGCAGCTGGATTTTTAATCAGCACATTCATTTTTGCTTAAATTCTTTCGTGTTGGTTGCAACATTTTTAATTTTTGCCACAGTACTTTATAAATTGAAGTATTTACTGTACATACTGGTTTTGAAAGTCAGTCTCTAGTTCACTTTTGTGCCTCTTTAGAGATACCTTGTATGCCACAGTAATAATGAAGATAATAGACTTAGCATCTGAAATACCTCATCCAAATTTTGTTACATTCTTTGTAGTTTTGGTCAGCTATTGTGACGTGATATCATAATGATAATTAATTAAATATCTCCAGCTCAAATTATACTGAATTACATGACTGTAGTGTGTGTGCACACATGACTGTGCACATTATGAATGAGCTTTAGACTATGTTGACAGTTATGCTGTTGAAAACAGGACATTTAGGTATTATTCTTTTATTTCCACGGGTTTTTTTGAGGTTTTAGCTAAGCAAGATGTGCCCTTATTACCATCAACTTCTTGTACGTAATTTTTAAAGTATTCATTTCCTTTTCTAAAGTACCTGTTTGTCGTGCCCTGGTGAGCAGTAAATATCTGGACCAGTTTAGCGATGATGCTATGACCAGCAGCCTTCCAATAATTTCTTGCTATTCAAGTGTAAAGGAAATATGCAAAGCAGACCTAATTTCTTTTCGTAAAAGTTTTTTTTAAAAAAACTTTAAACCTATTTTTTTCTGAAGAGCTTTTTTATGATGACCATTGTATTTAGTGCATATCTTTCAGAACCAAAACAAATAACAGACGTTGTCTAGACACATTGCCAGGGGCCAAACAGTTGTGTGTAAGACTGTCAATGGAAAAGGTTTATCCTCAAGTTCAAATTGAAAGATAACATATTTGTGTTTGTTTTTTTTTTTTTCTTACCATGATTTCATCATTTGGAAGTCTGTTAAAAGACATCATAAACAAAAGTTGCACTGAAGTAGACTAAATTCCAAGTACTGTGAAAAGACTGCAATACTTGTGTATGTTTGAGTAATCAACTACAATAGAGAACAAACAAAAGTTCAGTGTAATACTCGGGGTCAAATGAGATTTTTTCCAGGCCAGTTCCTTTACTATTGTGATTTAGCAGTTTGATTTATTTGACGGCATTTAAGGTTTGTGTTAAATTGCTGCAAATACCAAACCAGAAATAAGCTTGTATAAAAAGTAGTAC